GGAATGATGGTCAGCAAGAGTATATTAAATTTAAGCGTGAAAAGGTTTAGAATATATATTTGCTGCTTAAATGGACATTCAGAAGTCCCATAACAAATCTAGACACGTAGTGCTGGTGGAGATTTCAAAGGTTCTCTGATTATTAATACAGCTAAACCAGACTATTTAAATGGCGAGCAAGCAATCTCATTGGCTCTATAATTTACAGGGATAAAAAATTTGTAGCATAAGGCAATGATGTAATTGCTTGCATATAGCATATAACATTGTTGTCAGATTTATGTTTTTTTTTTTCCTCGTATTCATTAATTAATGAATTAATAAATTCATTCATTCATTCATTCATTCAGATTCTTTTTTTTTTTTCGGCTTAGTGTCTTTATTAATCTGGCGTCAACATAGCGGAATGAACTGCCAACTTATCCAGCATTTGCTTTACGCAGCGGATGCCCTTCCAGCTGCAACCCATCACTGGGAAATGTTTCCCTCTTATGTAAAGCTGAATTCTCAGCATGTTTACTCCAATCTTCAGCTTCACACAATATTTCAGAAAATATTCTAATATGTTAATTTAGAGCTCAAGTAACATTTAATCTCAGCAAGTGCTTAAAGCAGTTTGTGGATTTTTTTTAATAGAAACTAAAAAAAAAAAAAAGCATTTTGTAACACTTTAAGGTGTCCTGTTTTATAAATACATAGTCTGTGTACTTGATATGCTGTACCAATTACAGCTAACTATGCATAACTACCTGCTGCTAACCCTAAACCTAACCTACATTCTAACCCTCATCCATAGGAGTAAATATATTTAATTAATTAATATTTATTAAAATGTATTTATTTATTTATTTATTTGAAGCAGCTCTGGCACAATTTACATTGTAAAAGGGCTATACAAATAAAGGTTAATTGAATTAATAGAATTTAATTGAATTTATTTATTTATTTATTTATTTATTTATTTATTTATTTATTTATTTATTTATTTATTTATTTATTTGTCTGTGTGTTTGTTTGTTTATTTGTTTATTTATTAATTTATTTATTTATTTGTCTGTTTATTAATTTAGTCATTTATTTGTCTATGTGTTTATTTTACTTTGTACCATTAAAACATTTTTTTTACGTTAACTTTTGCTTAATTTAATGCATCCTTGATAAATTCATCGTTTATTTTCCTTTGGTTTTGTCCCTTATTCATCAGGGGTCACCACAGCAAAATGAACCGCCAACTATTCCAGCATATTTTTTATGCAACGGATGCCCTTCCAGCCGCAACCCAATACTGGTATTTAGCATTCAATGTACTTATTAATATGAACAAACAATTAACAATGCATTTATTATGGTATTTGTTAACCTTTGTTAAGGTTAGTTAATGAAAACAAAGTCATTCATTCTTAGTTCTTGTTTACTCACTGCATTAACTGTCATGTTAACAAGCACAAATTTGGATTTTAGCAACGCCCTAGTAAATGTTGAACTAAGAACAATAAAAACTGTGAATAAATACTGTACTAATTAACACAACCTTAAAAATGTGACCTATTAATGACCTTTTCAAACAGTACGGAAATGTCACTGCATTATACAACAGCATTTAAAATCAGTGAGCTTCTTTTTTGAAATTAACAACAAGGGCATTTTTCATTCAAAACACTTCACAAGAAACACATTATTGTAACACTTTATTAATCGTGCACAATAAGTGGATCTTGTTCACAGTTAATGTGATTCTCTACACCTGTTATTCTGCACACCTACATGTACTGACTTCATAAACCCCCTAATAATCACCAGATGTTATTCAAGTTAAATCAAATAACAGAAAACAGAGAAGCCGAGACTGATACATGTACAATACAAATTATAAGTGTGACTTCTACATTTTAGAATCACTGTACGCACAAACAAATCTAATTAATCACAAACCATTGTTTATCAAATTCAAAACAAATCAGTCACAAACTCAAGCATTTCTCCTGGGGCAAAAAGCTCTTGAAATGCACAAATGTCTATAGTATGTGCAAGAACATGTTTGCAAGCTGAAACATGCAAATAAGTTCAGAATGTTAGCTTCCCAACATTTTTAGGTTCATCTTTTACATTCTTTTTCAGTATATTGCTGTGTGTTTTGCCTACTGACTAAATTCCAAATATTTATAGCACACTTTCACTATAACAGAAAAAAATACAGATACTTTCCGCATAGCACAGTACATTATACACAAACTTCACAATATGCAAATAGGCTTACCTTAAAGTATCTTCTTCCTCACTCACACTATACTGTCCTTCTGTCAAACAAACACAACTGCACTCACAAACACAAACACGAGCTGTGTGACAGACCTCTGTCAACTCGTGAAAAGCCAGAACCAGTAATACCAGAAGTGGGGAGGTGACTTGAGGGCTAAGCAAACACTGAGGGAAGGCAAGTCAATGTGTAGCGTGTGTGTGTGTGCGCGCGCGTTTCGAGAAAGCTAGATTCAAAGGAAAACCATTAGATCACAATAAGCCATAGTGGCTTACATAATAGAGCAGTTTCATTAATTTGCATTCAGTCTGATCTGATGTGATCATTAATTAATTGTTTAATAATCCTAAAAGTTTAAATCTCAGGTGTTTCGTGGAGGTGTGTCCCGTGATTCCATCAATTGACTGGAAAGTGTCAACATTTTTCAGATTTTAGGCTCACTGACTGAAAATATATTTAATAAGTATGAACAAAATATATAAAAACTTAATTTGTATATTGAACTTTTCCATTTCTTTTAATATACTAATTGAATTAAGTTTATTTTTTTGTTACTTCCCGGGCAAATTAATTTTAAAATATATGTTTAAAAATAGCTGAAAAAAAGTTGCACACGCCTTAAGCTTTAGCATGAACAACACAATGCAGGTGGCTGCATGGTTGAGTAACAAGCATTCTTTCTTGTTTGTTTGAATGATAAATATGACTTGTAATGACCTAAGTGGTCTCTGTGTTGTATTACCAGATGGTCAGAGTAAAAAGTAAAATAATAGCAATACAGAGTGCTCAGCATAAATGAATACACCCCCTTTAGAAAAAATGTATCCATGTCGCAGTGAATATAGAGAACATTTTTTTTTGTTCATTTAAACAAAAATGTTTTATAAAATGTAAAAAAAAAAAAGGGTTAAGTCTATTAAAATAGGACTTTAGTCACCTAAAATCCTTAAGAATAGACAGATAATACATTATCTATAAATTATTTATACAGTTGAAGTCGGAATTATTAGCCCCCCTGTTTATTTTTTTCGTCAATTTGTTTAATGGAGAGCAGATATTTTCAACACATTTCTAAAAATAATAGTTTTAATAACTAATTTTTAATAACTGATTTATTTTTTATCTTTGCCCTGATGACAGTAAATAATATTTTAGATATTTTCAAAACACTTCTATACAGCTTAAAGTGAAATTTAAAGGGTTAAACAAGTTAATTATTTTAATGAGGTAGGTTAGGGTAATTAGGCAAGATATAGTATGACGAAGGTTTGTTCTGTAGATTAAAGAAAAAAATATATATAAATATAGCTTAAAGGGGCTAATATTTTTTTTAACTACACTCTTAAAAGTGATGTGTTAAAAATTTACACAAAATATGTGTTAAACAGGTCGTAACACATTTTGTGTTACTACGGACACATTGTGTGTTAATATTGTGCTTAACTGTTTACACATTGACTGTGTTAAACACATTTAAACAGTATGTTGGAATACAATGCATTTTTGCCTGTAGTCAAATGGCACTGTGTTATGAGTTTATGTAGTTTATTTATCATGATGGTAATATAAAATAAGCATTTGTGAGTATGTGGCTAAAAATTCTATATTTCGGGGTTTATACTGTGAATTTCTGCACGCGCATGCGCAGTGACGTTCTTTTTCAACTGACGCTCTCCCAGAGCTCTATCGGATAACGCACCTCTCTGCCTCAGGTGAGTGAAATTCATTAAAATTCGTGTACGATAGTAAATATTTCTTCCACTCTGCGTGAGAATGTTTTGTGTTAGTTGTCCAAGAAGTTATTTTTGTTACTTTTATTATGTTTTCATGTTTCGTACTCCTGATACACGGGACTTAGCAACTCTGTCATGTTACATTAACTTTAGCCGCGCAAGCTAACGCATCTGGCGCGTCTTTTGTAAAGCTGCGTTGGCACTTGGCAGAATTGTTAATAATAAGTTACATATAAGGCGAAAGACTTACCCTAAATATGTACTGCATTTTGGTGTAAGAGTTGCCGTCACTTTAAAAAGCCTCTGCGTCTCTGACACTCGAGGTAACGCTACCAGATATAATTTATGCATTTAACGTTACGTTATTATCATAAGGTTATTTAATATATAACCTTATATGAAGCTCTGCGGCAGGAATTTAAACATAAATCCCTTGTCGTAACGTTAGTTGGGTGCTTTGTACAGACACCAAATGGCGCCGAGGTGTAAGCAAATTCATAAACAATAGCTAAAATATGAAGATCTTTAATGTACTCAATTTTGCGCGCCATTTTGTGGTACCCTACTAGTCGCATACTATTTAAAAGTGTACTTTTTATTGTCATACACAGTTACAGGTGTTTGTTTTCTCATTGTGCTGTATGAATTTCTCTCTTAGGAGATGGAAGTCGAGGAACAAATTACACCGCGTTCTTGCAACTGTCTTCATAGACAGAAAGGAAATATGGAGAAAACTATTCACAGATGGCAATGCTGGAGATCTGATAGCCTTAGTCAAACAGGTCTCAACTATCTTTTGATTGAATATTGAAATTTGACAGATTTTCAAGTTCATTGACACTGATGTAAATGCAGGAGTAAAGGAGCTAGGCAAATTTCAAATATATTATATTGCAAGCAACACCCCGGACTCATTAGAAAGAAGTGTGCAGGTAAAACATTAATATATTTCTCCCTTTATATTACTATAGATAAACGTAAACATTTAAATAAATAAAATGTTTTGGCATTTCTTAGTGTCCTTTAACAGACTCAACTCAGACTGGCAACACAACTAGTTTGCTGACGCTGCTTGAAGAAAAGCCTCTTCAATCCTGAGAGAACATGAAGACTGTTAAAAAGTTGCTGTCAGTGTCCTTGTAGAGAAACATGGATTGTGAGTATGTGGTTTGTTTATTTCATGTAAGATGTATTTATTTGCAAATTAAATAAATTACATTTATTTAAATAAGTTATATATTAAAATAAATTCTACATTTAAAAAATATTTCAAATAAATACATTTAACAATTTATCCCAATCAATTCTGAAGTACCACTGTTTAGTCAATTTTTTGTTTGTCAATGTTTGTGTATAAGCAATTTATGCAACTGTATTTGTTTTTTACCTTTTTAGCTATCCTTCTGGTATAGAAAAGCTGGTACTAGCAAAAGAGATTCTGTCATTGTTCCCCTCAGGTGCCCTTTGGTGAAAATGAGGGACATGAGAATGTAAGAATGTTTTTACATTATAAACTGAATTTATTAGGAATGTGTATATAAGTTGCTCATTTATTTGACTTTCATTAGTTCTGTTTTTACATTACTAATGTCAGGAGGATTTTTTTTTTTGCTAGGCCATCACACAGTCGGACGGAAGCTTCAACAGAGCCAGTGGGTGTACAGTTTAAAACATCATCATTGTACACCGCAACCTTCTTCACCAAGTCCAGATGAAACCGTACCAAGTGAGTTGTTGTCTCTGATAAAGAAGATGCGACCAGACAATTTATCATCAATAAAGACTGCAATCAATCAAACCTTCAGTTACAGAAGAAGATGGATAACAACAAAATCCCTTCAAAATCTCTTGCTGAAATCTTCAAGGACTATCCCAGATTTCTTGACATGCCAGCTTTGGTAATAGACATGCTCAACTAAGACAGAACTTTACACAGACATTTATTTCATAATTGTAATATTAATATTTCTTTGTTTCTGATTTCTTTCTTTCTTTAAAGATGGACATTGAATTTTCCAAGCTCACAGATAGGAACGAAGACTTGTTTATCCAGAAAAGGGAAGGGACGATAATTCCAGAACTCAAAGAAATAGCATCTTGGAGAAGAATATTGACATCAGACTCTTACTGAAGATGGCTGACAATCAGCATGATGGTATGAGTTTCAGCCAAAATATCTGTTGCATGTGCACACTTTTCTAAAAATAGTTTAAAAGATAAAACTTAATGTGAATATTAATATTCTATTAAAGATATTAATTTCTAATATATTTTGTTTAAATTCTTATTTTGCATGTGACCTGTATCTTCACTTCAAGATGAGCTGTTAAACTGTTAAAGATCCTTATTCATCTTCTTCCACCCACTGCCTCTGGGAGAAGTGTTGCTGGGAGTAAATGCTGTGTGACTTCTGCTGTGTCCTACCTGTTGGAGCAAGTGCCGGTATAGTTTTTATTGGTTTAGCTTATGATAAATAAAATGTTTCTAATGCAGCAACATTTTCTTATGCTTTTTATTGTTTCATTCCTGAAGGCTGGTACCACCGTTACATCTTTGCTCACTGAATCCATGAAAGGGACCCTGAAGTCAGCTCAGCCGCAGTTGGTTTCTATTGGTTGTCTAGGACATGGATCCTTGTACGTGTACGTGTACTTGTAGCTGTGGCAAAGAATGACTCTTTTGCTCTTCCACTCGATCCTGAAAGCCTGACCTGTGCTGTAGACAGACTTTTCAAATTCTTCTGGCTGTGCAATCTTCAGTATCCATGCCAACTGTCTTCTGTTTTTTTTTTTTGAGTATATATATATATATATATATATGACTTGTCCTTGTCCCAGTCATCTTGCACACGATTAAAGGTCATGGAATTAATTGCTAAGGTGCAGTCTTGTACCTAATTGAAATAAGCATGTACACCTATCCAAAGTGTCTTTAAAATGATTTTGTAATTTGGCATTTAAGGGAAATGCATGCACTCTCTGATAGTCACAACCTAACTTTAATTTGTTGTCAAAATCGTTGCCCTAGAACATATCATAATTTAAATTCCTTTTTAAAACATCTCAACAGATCATTTTAAAATTAATTCATGCCCTTCTGAAGAGTCAGGACACACAGGGAACAAGAGTTTTAAGAGTTAAGTATTTTGATGAACATATTTTTTTCTTCAGTGTCATCAGAACAAATCGTTTTCTCTTTGCTTTGCTGCCTGGGGACTTAATAGATTACAGACCTCTAGACATTTTGTCATTTTGTGATCAGCAGTATGTATCTCCTAAATACAAAATATTGTTTTAAACATGTTAGTGATTGAAACTTTGGTAACACTTTATAATAACTACACACTATAAATCATTTATTAAGCATTAGCAAATGGTGAATTCATTAATTTGTAAAGCGTTAACTCTACATTATAAGACATTAGCGGTTTACAAATGCTGTATTCTTGACTTATAAGTAAATGTTTAATGTGCTTAATAATTGTACCTTCACACTTTGCTTCTGATTATTTTTTCACTACTAAATTAAGGACTGCATTATTTACAAACCATTTGAATTTGAAAGTATGAATTATAAAAGTACAATTGTTAGGCACATTATAAATGTGCTTATAAGTCAAGAAAACAGCCTTTGTAGCTGTATTTAGAAACCCATTACTAATGTCTTATAATGTAGATTTAATGCTTAACAAATAGTGAATCAACTACTGTACTTGCTAATGCTTAATAAATAATTTATATTGTGTCGTTACTATAAAGGGTTACCTAAATGTTTGAAGTGTTTTGACTATATTTGACAATGATTTATTTTGTTAAGACAAGCACCTTACATGTGGGTGAATGTATAATCAGTGTGCTATGGTTATTAATTTCTTTCACTAGAGAATAATTTTGAAAATGGATATGTTTCATACATATTTGACATTTTATTGGCATGCGTAACAGATACGAGTTCAATTTAATGAATACTTTTATAAAGTGAGTTTTTATATTATGTACAATGAATTGCTGTAAAACATTTGAATGCATTTGGGAAAATTAAACAGTATGTGAACAGTGTTTAATGTTTCCTGTGAGATTTTGTATATTGATTTTACATTTATAATATTTTTTACATTTAAAATTACAAAAAATGAATAGTAACACACAGTTGTGTTAAACACATACAAAAATAACACATCTGTGTGTCAACTTATGCTGCACATTAATGTGTTACATTTTATGACACATTTTGTGTGTTAAACTTAACTCAACATGTGTTGTCCCTGAGCACACTCAGGACATGTGTTGAAAATAACACATGTTGTGTTGTTTTCAACACATTCCTTTTTAGAGTGTAAAACGGTGTTTAAAAAAATTGGAACAAGTAAAAGGTGAGTTAATGGTCACAGAATGTTCAGTTTTGTATGAACTGTTCTTTAAATAGTGAGTATGGTGAATTTAGGGTGACATTTCCTACAATAAATTTTGTTTTGAAAAGCTACCGATTACTTAATAATCGATTGTCAATAACCCTTTAATCGATAGACCTTAACAATGACTGGTTAAGCATGCACATTTAAAAGTTTATTTATGCTTTGCGCTGTGAGACGCCTCCACACATTACATCATCAAGTGTGTGCAGTTTACCTTATTATGCAGTCACCCTCTTGACATTGCACATTGCGCTACGCATAAAAAGCCTGTTATGCGCAGATCTCTGTTAGATGTGCGGGTGTTTTAATTTTACCTCACAGACTGGCATGAATAGGCCTATGCAGACTCTCATTTTTTAAATCGCGCATCACAACAAGACATGCAGGGAATCTCTCCATTCACTCAACGGGTTTGAGAGCTCTCTCATCCTTCAGACCAAGTTTACTCTTCCAAGGAAACCTAAGAAAACCATCAGTGCTGCGAATAGATTGTAAAGACTGTCCAGCTCATGCTGCTTAAACCGCGTTTCGTTAATGAATTAAAATTTAACCATAAAAATAGTTTAATGGATTGTTTTGGCACTATACTATAGCGAAGTTGTGTTAAAGCGCTTCACATCAGATGTTATTCATTCTGTTTGTACATTAGAATTAAGTTACACATTATACATAACGAAATTCGTTGCAAAAAAATACATTTTCAAAGAAAAATATATAAAGTGTATATATTTTTTGTGACTCCCTTAAATGACTGCAGGTGGATGATGCTTCGCTCTGTGGAAAATAAGCATTTAATTAATAATCCACTGTTGTTGTAAATGTCTGTCATATATTTGCTGCATTTTTACTATGTCATTAGCACAGCTTTCAAAAATGATGACATGAAACTCTGCTGGGTAGTTGCGCTGATTTACCAACACTTAATCACAGCCTGTATGGCTGTAGCCTACACTTGTATTGTGTGCAGCATCCGGAGGAGCAGGGTGCAATTATTATTAATAATCATGTAATTATTGCATAAATATTTACAAATTTATGGAGTAGTAATGAATTTACCTCCTATGATAAGTAATAATATGATAAAATGTAGTAATTATTTTTGTTTACATTTTCTATAATAATAAAATATTACTCACATGTTTGGCAATACTGTACACTTAAGCAAAACTATTTGAAAACTATATTAAACAACCCAGGCTCATTCTGAAAACGTAGTCCCGTGAACGTTTCTGGAGACTGCAAAATACGTCCTGTGATGTTTTTGTTTTTGTGAATCCACGAGAGGCCACTGTGTGCGCATTTTCGCATCTCAAATGTCTCTCAACAGTGCCATTCGCGCCTGCGCTGTTGTCGTGTAAATTAACCCACCAGAGGCCGCTGTCGAACGTCTGTCTGACTGACTGAATGATTGACTGGGCGACCAGCCAATTGGCTGACCCACCCTCCTCCTTACCTAAACCCAACTAATTGTACCAATTAACCCGCCCACCCGCTTACTTCCCTAAACCCAGCAAGCAATTTACATAAGCCCTCCAGAAAAAGAAAAGCCTTGCCTGATTTTTACCACATTTTCAGACTTTACCACATTCTCATTCTGTTATGAACTTGTACACTTTATTTTTTGGATTCTGTTTTTGTCTTACCTGATTTCTGAAACCACTCTTCCCCGGACTCAAATCCGGTCATTGCCGTCATCAGCTCCTCTCTGCGTCTCAAGTCCGTCGACGTACACGATGAGCTAACTGGACAAACTGGTTGCAGTGGGAAAGCCCTCCACACGAAGGTAAGTGGTCAGCCGGTAAGCGTGAAAAGGAATGGCGTCAAACCGCTCTATAGCGTTCGCTTAAAAATTTAAATGCAGCCATACGTACCTCCAGCTACATAATTTGCAGTCACCAGAAACATCCACCGGACTAAGTTTTCAGAATGTTCCAGGGTTGATTATAAAATCCATGTTATTAGTTACATAACAATAAAGGTAATTAAATATTTTATCATAAATATACAAATGAAATAAGCATTCAAATAAATTAGTATATAGTAAAATTTTATAATTGTAATTATCAAATATTTAACATGAATAATCATGATAAGATACATAAATAAATTATTTAGTTTGATGTTATTTTCATTAAATAAATTAAATGTAATACAGAGGCTTAACCTTGTGAACCACAGTTCTGCTAGAGTAAACTCAAAAAATACTTTTGTGTTACATATTTAATACTAAATACTTTTTAATTACATATTTAAAACAACAAGTTTTAGGTGTTTTGGGACAACTAAATGGTTTATGCTCAATCCACTTAAATTTGTACAAAAAAAATGAAGCTAACAATCAATTTGTGTTAGGACAACATGAAGGAATTGTTTGGAACGCAGCATTTTTACAGTGTACATCACTGTTCAGCAGCACAATTAAAACAGTCTGTAATGGTACAGCACATCTTTCCATTGGCATACAGTTTAGTCAGCACAGCACTTTTTATATAAAGTGCAAAAATTCAGAAAAATGAATCAAACATTTCCATCAGTTTGCTGTCATTTAGGATGGCAGGATGGAGAGAGTGAAAGATGATGAGAAAGAGAGAGAGAGAGCAAGGAAAAGAGCTGTTAATCTGTGCCTCACAGCAACGCAGTGAAAGTCTGGAAGTATCTGGAACAGACAGGAAGAGCGACGGAAGCTCCCATTCATCTGACTGCATTCAGACACATCCTGTGCCGTCAGCAGTCCTGCTTTAATCAGTTCAATAACACACCGCCACAGACGAGGAAACCCACTTGTGCAACTCCTGCCAGTGTCATTTCAATACGACCGTACGCAAGCCCACATTAAGATGCAGAGATACTGTAATCTTAGTCTCAGCAGAGGAAAAAAAAATAAAAAAACCCTGAGGCACAGCAAAGCTTAGTCTCATTATATTCATGTATTAAATAAAGATAGTTTATGAAACATTTGCATAACTGAATTTCATTGATAGTTAGACCTTTCTCATATCAGAAAATATATAAATAACAAACACTTGATTTATAACATTAAATTGAAATTTCTAATGACAAAAAATGGTCTCTGGGGGTACAATGTGTCGTCCATATGCATAGTATGAATTTTACTGTTTGATTTCACATATTCAAGTATAATTTGTATCACATTTGGTAGCACTACACTAACAATTTGTGGTAACACTTATTATTAAGCAGCAATTTACACTATTAGCTAATGGATTATTCCATGCGTATAATTAAGATATTAACTTGTACTTATCAAGCGGCAACCTCCCGCTCTCACTCGGGAAGCCTAAACGGAACTAACTGAAACTACAATTCATAAAATTCCGCTAGTCCTAGCTCCATATGGAGCAAATTTCAATTGAGCCCACTGTTAGAATGGCCAATTTTACCACAGAAAAAAAGGTGTTTACAGCCTGGTACAAAGAACGATTTTGGTTTATATAGCTAATACTACCCTTCATGACAACTGTGATGGAAGTGAATTGTTTTATCTCATCTGTTTCCTTTATATTAGGTTATATAAAGTTTGCATAATTAAAAAAGTGGCCACTTGAGTGACAGCTAGGTCTTGCTGGTCACCTTCACTTCACCTTAGCTGACTCCGGCTGATTAGCCACTGAACTTGGCATTTGTTTTATTTAAGATCATTTATATTTTCTTTAGACCTGTAAAGCACTCCAGAATCTGACAGATTGATTAGCTGCGGGCTCTAGAACAGTCATCTGAAGCGTTGACATATAGTGTTATGCTGGATTTCATCAATAGTTTTGCATTTACTAACACAGACTTTATCTGAAGTGTTTGGGAGTAATAAGCGTTTTCCTCTAGTAGAAAAGCATCATAAGAACAATGCTTAGTGGCTTAATGTATTACAACTGTGTTTTTAAAAGTCTAAACACTTCATTGATATAGTGTACAAGCAAGCACATGTGGTCAGAACACAAACGAGTCACAGGTAATAAAGTATTAGGCGTTCTCCCAAAGTAAAGTCTGTCTAAGCCAGGTCAAAGCAAAATGCCAGCAGGTGTCTGTAGCTCCGCTCCCTCCCTGCCTCTTTGCCCTTGTTTGATATCCTGCTGTGGGTGTGATGATGTGCGAACAAAATGGTGACGTTTGGTCACGCCTACTTGTAGCTTCTTTTGCAGTGTTCAGAAACCTATGGATGACGTCACGGATACTACGTCCATATATTTTACAGTCTATGGTACTTATAAAATATTATCTTATTCAACATCACTAATCCTATCTAAAGCTTAAATTTAACTACTACCTTGGTAACTATTAACAAGCATGATGTATGATTTAAAAAATTAGATGGGGCACCCAAACCCACTCCTAAACCCAACCTTAATTAGAGGATGAGCACATCGTACTGAATTGTACAAATGAGATTGTACGAATTTGTACAAATTAGTAAACATAAGCTCATTCTGAAAACGTAGCCCTATATACGTTTTTGAAATTCACCAGAGCTACGTATATTTTTAAATTGAAGGCTACAGTGCCCTATGATACTGTTCCTTTTCGCACTTACCAGCTGTCCGCTTACCTCTATATGGGTGGTTTCCCGCTTTTACTAGTTTGTCCCGTTAGCTTGCTATGTATGTTGGCAGGCTTGAGATGCAGAGGAGT